CAGGTAGAGAACAGAGTACCTGAGCAGGTAGAGAACAGAGTACCTGAGCAGGGAGAGAACAGAGTACCTGAGCAGGGAGAGAACAGAGTACCTGAGCAGGTAGTGAACAGAGTACCTGAGCACTTGTCCTTTTTATTTTTGTTCACAAATACAATCAATGAAACATTATTTAAGGGTTAAAACTGATCCACTTTTACATGCTTAAATAAATAATAATAATAAAGAGATGTCTGATGTCCGATAGCATCATGTGGATAAGAGGAATACTCTCACTTATTCTTTTCACACTTGAAACTCTGTTTATTTGTAAATGCAGTTAAATGATTGGAGGTGAAAGTTGATTTGAGCTAACATGAGTCAGGACGTCTGAGCTTCATTATCATCCTGCGTGATCAGGAAACATGTTGAAATCATCAGTTTACACAAACAGCAGGTCCAAGGTGACTGCCCCCCCCCCCATCAGAGCCTGTCCTGCTGACAAACACTTTGGTTTTTAGGATTGTTTTTGACCTCTTTTCATGTGAAAGAGGTGAAAGAAGCATAGTAACTGACAAACTGCTGAAGCTGATGGAATCAGCAGGTCAACATGTTGTTGTGTCCAACTAAAGAACCAAAGGCACTCAATCCGCCTCAGCTGTTCTTTGGGTTCACTGATAATCAGCTAATGTTAGCATTAGTGTTGATTTTACATCTTTTGCTGCGGTCGTTCGTTATGTGAGGGAATAAAAAAAATAAATTTTTGGTGACTTATTACATAGATACCTAGCTAGCTAGCTAGCTACATCTCTAACTAGCTACCCAACTTACTAGCTAACTAGCAACATCTTAACTTTGTGAATTCATACTGAAAGTAACGTATGTAACATTGTTTTCATAAAACAAGCTTTAAAGGGATGTTTTACAGGTGGGTTTGGAATCTGTTTACTACATTTGTGGTTGAAGCTCAAAAGTTCTGCAATCTGGATTCATTGCTTTTCCTTTTTTGGGTTAAATAATGATTAAAATGTAAGAAGTTTGACACCAGAAGTTGATTGTCAGTTAAAATCTAGAGAAACATTTAACTGTTAAGTTTAAAGAGCCAAACTGTGAACTTGAGGCAAGTTTATCTCCTCATGGCGAGAGCGATGAGTCCCGATGAAGTGAAAGGTGAGAATGCGTGCGGCCTCGCTGCCCTGATGCAGGTCAGTCAGGTCAGCACCACAGTTTACAGTTTGTACCCGAGACACGTTTCTGTTTGTCCTTCGCCTCTGATTCCTGTTCCGGGAGTTTACCCCGAGGCAAGCGCTGCCATGAACAACACTTTGGGTTAAGTCGTTTTTTTCCATTGAACATTAATGCAAGACCAGTGCTGAACACACACAAACACACACGCACACACACACACACACTCACACGCACACACGCACACACACACACACAGATATGTGACACACTATTCTAAGTAGTGTTTCTGTTAAAGTAAAACTCCAGACAGCTGTTTAAAGAGTAACTAAACCTCAGAGTTCACCTGGAAATAACAAAATATGCCTCTCGAACATTTTCTTTCTTTTCTGTGAACGTGAAATGAAGCCAACAGCATATTTAAACATCTGGTGAATCAGTGTTAATAACCAGAGTGTGTTGATGAAGCATCACGTTTTTCAATTTGAATTATTTATCAGCTGGCTAGTTAGCTAGCTAGCTAGTCTCATTCCACCATGATTTCGTGCTACAGTTACAGAATATAAAAAGCACCACAAGAACTGACGGGCGTGGTTACTTTAGCATGATAGACTGTACTGTTTATAAATAATCGTTAACGACAACGTTATCAGAGAAACAAGCTGAGCTAACGTTAGCAACAGACGTCTGGATCTTAAGTCATCAGAGATACAAGTTGAGCTACAACCAATGCAGTCTGTTAAAGCATTGCAACCAGGAAGTGTAGAAGACTTAACACAGTGGAGATAATTCAGGTAATCCCGTCAGAGAGTTCTAACTCCTGAGCGTTCATTTAGCCCTCAGTTATTGTGAAACAATGAACAACCAGGACACGTGCTTCGTTGGTACTCACTCTGCCTTGGCGTTGAAGACATGTGTGGCCCAGCCGTCCATGAAGCGCGGGTCTCTCGTGAACCACAGCACCACCATGAGGATGAGGAGCGCCAGGACGCTGACCTCTCCGTAAGTCACCGGTCCCAAACGACGATGCTCGTTTCGGATCACTTCGTAAGCCGCTCGCTCCTTCTCCGTCTGCACCGCCCCACAACCCCATGTCCTCCGCAGGCTGCAACAGAGCATTTGATGATCTGCATGGGTCAACAGGTTTTCTTTCTTTAGTTTACGTGTTGTGGTGAAGCCAACTCACTTGCAGCCGATGTAGACGAACTGCAGCCAGAACCAGGCCAGCGTTAGCGTCAGCACCATGGTGGGGAAGGCGAACACAAACCAGGACGCAAAGTTGATCACGTCACCGTTCCGAGGGAAGAGTCTACGAGAGAGAAGCACAAAAGGTGACAAAACGTCAGAAAACGTCAAAAGAAATTGTTCAACCCTTTAAACAGATAGTGGAGCCCAGATCAGAACTTTAGTAGCAGCAGCCTACTCACTCTGAGAAATATGAAAATGTTTTTTCTACATCTAACGTTTTAAAACATAAATGTAGTCCAAAGAAACACAAGAACTCCAGTAATAAACAACCTAAAACCTGACAAAGAATAAATGAACAAGTTTACAAATCTGATTGTTTTCAGCACGGAAACAATACCAGGAAGGTCAATTAGGATCCTTTTTCATGGTGGACACACAAATTAAACACATCCACGTGACTATGCAACGGTCAGACCTGGTGACGTAGTATTAAATATTGACAGGAAGTCATTCTGAGCGAAGAAAAACTACAAATTTGTGTCCTTGTACTAGAAACCAATAGATTGCATTCTGTGACGCTTTCATGAACTGTCCCTGTTTCCGTCTGTTTTTTTGTGTTTAAGCACCTACTGGCTCATCTGTCCCATCAGAACCAGGTTGGGTCCGGTGCCGGTCAGCGTGGCGATGCCTCCGATGCTGGCAGAGTAGCACACACACAGCAGGAGTCCTTTGCTCAACTTCTTCCTCTCTTCCTCTTCGTCGCTCAGCTCCTCCAACTCCATCTGACAGCAGACGTTCTCCACGGACACAACGGCTACCGCAGACAGTTTGTAGAGGAGGGAATGTTTTAGAGCACTAACTACAAATTCTGATCATGTTTCAAATCATCCATTCTAATTATTCCGAAAAAATATCCCAAATGTCCCATTTTCCGTTATCCCAAAAACCTACGGCCATTGTTCCGAAGGTCTATTGCTCGGAAAATAAAAACTCTCCCCTCAACAAACAGAAGCACGATACGTATTATTATCAGAAAGGTTCAGGAAAAGATAGTGCTTTGGGTTCAAATAGACCCTCTTTGGCAGAACGCCCTGCAGACTCCTCCTCCTCATCATTCCCACGACGTCATTGTGCAAAATAATTTGCAATGTGTTTCTATTTGTTGAGAGTGTTTATTTTCGGAGAAATGGGCATTCAGAGCAATGGTTTTCAGTTTGTTTCTATGAAAAACAACTTGCAGAGAGTTGGAACGTGCTACAGAGAGAAAACCGACATTGTCAACCTTTAAGCAACATTATTATTGTTCTCTGTCTTACTTCTATAAAGGTGGATTAACATGCTCTCAGGTTTATAAACAGAAAGTTGAACGCCGTGTTTTTTTAGTCTATATTTGTTTATATTTTGGCAAATTGTCAGCTTTAAAAGTACATCGTGAATATAAACGAGATTACATTATTTTAAGTGGAATATCAACATTTTACTTTTCTACAATATCTGCATGGCATCGACAGCATGGTAAAGGTTAGGGAAAGATTGTGGTTACAGCAAATAAACTATAGTTTAGGTTATAGTTATAGTTAACTAAATCATTTGGTTAAGATTAATGGTCGTTGCTCTCAATGTTTGCTCTGGGCATAAATCATAAGGTGTGGAATATGAAATCTAAAGAGTACTCTACCGATGTAGCTTTTCCCTTTAAAATAAGCTGATCTTCATATTTAATTGAAATTAACTGAAAACCGATGACTCTTTGGAAGAAAGAAAATCAATCTGTAGGTGATAGAGTTCTGTACCAGAGTGAATCTCCTCTGTGGACTCACCAGGTCCACTGTTGGTGCTGTCTGATGGAGGTTTGTCTTGTGGTGTCGGTTTGACGATCTCCTGTCTGTCCATCTGAGCCTCAGAGGACGTGTTGCTGGATTTCTCTGAGTTACTTTGTGTGAAGGTTTCCCCATTCACACCTGTGAGGAAACATGGCAGTATGCATGGCAATGTTAGTCTGCCAGTCCACCGCTTTGGTCCAGACCGACATATCTGAACACACTATTGGATGTACAAACATATTGATATCAAGCAGATGAACCCAACAAAGGTTGGTGAGCCTCTGACCTTTTGTTCCATACATTTTGTAGTTCAGAGTAAAAAGCCTCACCTACTACCGGATGGTTCCTACAGTCATGTTTTCCTTCAGGATGAATTGTAATATCTTAGACTTTTCTTCGGGCGCCATCACGAGGTCAACGTTTTTGTCCAATCCTCAAACTAAAGGTATACCACACGTCATACAGAGTTGTTTGTTTTCAGCATACCTTAAAACTCGACTACAGCAGGACTTGTGGTGACTGGGAGTCAAACACTTGAGTTTGGACTTGTGCTTAGATGATTTCGACTGCAGTACTGGAGTTAAGTGTAAGGTTCCCAGCTTGGTTGTCCATTTTTAGTGATGCATTGTGAAGGTCACTGGGCCTCCATTGACCCAATCACCAGACAAGAACAACGACATTGGACGATTCTGTGAAACCCACTCACAATGTTTTTATGGCAAAGTTTTTAAAGATCCTTGTGCCGCACTATATCTGCACATGGAAACTATGGTATGGTAAAGGTTTGGCAAATGTTGTAGTTGTAAAAAGGTGAACATTATTGCAGGTCTGCGAAAGAACGTGAGCTGCCATCTCCTGCATTACAATCTGACACAGTGCATGGCCTTTCACCAACCTCCTAACCCTTACTGTCATCCCCTACAAACAGATTCATCCACTTTCTTTGGGATACTAGGCTGGTTTCTTCTAAAACAGGATCTCAGTAGGCAGCATAGTGGATCAATCATACCGTTGTCCAGGATGTTCGCACCAGCAGTTTGCAGAACGCTGCTGGTTTTCTCCTTATGTTCCTGGTCTAGGTCGACACTCCCTCTCTGGGTCTTGGAGGAGGGTTCAGGGTCTACGTTGTCATGGAGCTGTTCCAGGACAGCCTGGACGATTGGAACCATCATGGCGGTGGTGGCCGTGTTGCTGATCCACATGGACAGAAAGGCTGTCACTCCCATGAACCCCAGCATCAACCTGGAAGACAAAGAAAGAGGAGATTTTCAAAAATGTGACGACGCTTCAACAATCCTCATCAACAAGTGCAACCAGAGGACGGAACCATAAGAAACGGAACCAGAGGATTGTCACGGTACATTTTTTAACAAGTACGACCAATGAACATTGACACAAGGCTGGGGAAACTGGAAGGGAATTTAGCACTAAGAAGTTTCACTTACAGTCAGGTGGAAACCTTTAGTTCTGAAGTGTGTTAAAGCTGCATTCTCTCTAGTGTCCACCAGGGGGCGACTCCTCTGGTTGTATAGAAGTCTATGAGAAAATGACTCTACTTCTCTCTTGATTTATTACCTCAGTAAACATTGTAAACATGAGTTTATGGTCTCAATCTCTAGTTTCAAGTCTTCTTCAATACAGCATGATGTTCATTTAGTACATTATGGTCCATTTAGAGTCAAACAGACCATAAAGCAGGGGATGCTTTAGGGGCGGGGCTACCTCAGGTCTCTACTACGGCAACTTTAACCCTGTTGTGTGTTTTCACTTCATGGAAGTTAATTGTAACATTTTGGTCCTAAAATGTTTTATTCAACGTACGGTTGTACTTAGCTCCTCCCTCTTGTGTCACTTCTGGTTGAAAAAAAAACAAGATGGCGACGGCCTAAATGCAGAACGTCATCACGGCATCTATGTCAACTTCTTATACACAGTCTGTGGTTACAGATGTTAGGAAAGGATCACTGAGACAGGATTAACAGGAAACTTCCAACACTTCGGTCTTAAGTTAAAATATCTCCAAAGCTATCAGATAGATCGCCATTAAAATTTGGTGCAGATGTTCATAGTTTCATGAGGACGAACCCTAATGACTTCAGTGATCTACTAATTTTTCATCTAGCAAATCTCTTTAGATACGAATTTACATTTGTCAAACACTTAATTCATGACAGAATCCCTATTAAAACTATAATTCCTGTCAGCATTAATTAAATTACCATTCCTCAACGATAAACATTTAACAATGTCAGCATGCATTTTCATTTCAAAACTCATTTAAAGCAAAGTACTTTTATGCTTAATGGAAGATTTGAGAGTCCGAAGATGAAATGGATCCTTTTGATTGAAGTAACAACTTGAACTTTTCTCTGGCGCCAGTGGTAAAAGATAGAGAACGTGTTTCTCCAAGTTTTACTTGCGTCTTTTAATACTTTCATTTTGAACTCGTATTATTAGTAACTTAAACATTGATGGTACAGTGCAGGAGATCAGGGCACTCACAGGGCAGGTCGGACTCCGACTAGCAGCAGAGCTCGCAGAGCGATGCGTTTGTGGAGGTTCCAGTGCTCCACGGCGACGGCCACCATCAGCCCCCCTACAAACAGCATGTTGGTGTCCTTCAGGTACTGCATACACACCTGAACAACAACAGACAATACTGAACCCATCCATGTCATCATTAGACACTCTGACGCAGTGTAAAGAAGAGTGGAAGTTAAGGTTTGATGTGTAAAACAAACACAAGACTTTCACCCAGGAGACCGATGTTCATGTCCTCGGTTTAGTCAACACTGACTTGAGAAATGTCACAAAATAAGATTCTGATCTCACAATTTTACATTTTTCATAATATCCAATGAACTAAAGTTTGTTTTATCATCCTCAACTATATCCAGTAATGTTTGTATACTTAAAAATCCTGATGTTGTCTGGGAGAAGGCTCTACAGAACGCAGGGTCCATAGACAGAACAACAGACAATCTCTCAGTTGGTTGTATGCAGTGTGTAAAATACAACACTTCATTCTTTTGCAACCAATGAGCAGAAGTGACCATATTTGTTTGTAACAAACAATTCTCTAATTTGATCTCTGATTGAGACAGTCGTCTCTTTAACCTCCAATAACTCAAACTTTATATTAATCAATTAATAATTTAGCACCTTTTAAAAAATGTTTGTGTGTGTGTGTGTGTGTGTGTGTGTGTGTGTGTGTGTGTGTGTGTGTGTGGGTCCAGTCTTACGTCTTTGGACTCCATGATGCCGAGGACGGGGAACAGGATGGTCGGCAGCAGCGCCGTCACCGGCAGCGGTAAAACCTCAGTGCACCAATACACCGCCATGAGGAGGATGACGTAAGCACAGGCGGCCTCCTACGCACGCACGCACACACACACACACACACACACACACACACACAGAAAAACATGTCAGGTTAATACTTCTTCTAAGAACCATAACAAATCACAATAGCCACGCTTCCATCTGAATTTAGTGCAAAATTTAAACAAATAGATAACCAGATAACCATCCAAATAAAACTCTTTGATTACACACAACAATCTCAAACTTTAAGACCTCAAGTTTCCAATACTTTGACCGCCTAAATAAATAAACCTTAAATTAAGTTATTAAACGCTTTAATCCTGCAGAATGAGATCAAAGTAACATTTAGAGCATTAAATTCAGTTGTTTTACACCTTAAAGCCTCTGATTTAATGACGATTCCACCTTAATGTGATGAGAGAAACTTTAAGAGGATTTTAAAGTATAACGGGGTTTTGCCAGTCTGGATGTTTGAAAAGATAAAGACTCTGAAAACAAACCACCATAACCTCGTTATGTGACATACAAAACTGCAAAAACAAAAGCTGTTTTTGTAGAAAGAGGAAAACGTGTGGATACAGACTCATGTTGTGAACTCTGAGCTCACCTGACATTTGATGTTCATTCACCTGCTGGACTCCAGAATCCAGGTGTGAAGACGACGAGTTTAAAGTTCTCAAAACTTTACAACCTTGAGACCTGAAACATCCACTTGTGTGTCGGGACAATTTAAAAGATGCTGAGCTGATGACGGGAGCCGCTCTGTCCAAACAGTCTGTTTATCTTAACTTTCATTCACGTAGAAACCTCCCAATGCATTCCCATTGTTCACTTAGGGGGAGCAAAGTCAGAGTTTTAGTAGCCCTAATTTCAAATGAAATATTATCATCATCCAATCACCACGATTAGGTGATTATATTATTATATATATACAGCAATCTATAATTATTTTATTATTTTCAGCCAAGCCGTCCTTACTGAAGAAAACGGCTTATTTTCCCTCATGTTCCCTCAGCTCTATGTTCCCTCAGCTCGATGGTCACTCAGCTCTATGTTTACTCAGTTCTATGTTCCCTCAGCTCTATGGTCACTCAGCTCTATGTTTACTCAGCTCTATGTTTACTCAGTTCTATGTTCACTCAGCTCTATGTTTACTCAGTTCTATGTTCCCTCAACTCTATGGTCACTCAGCTCTATGTTCACTCAGCTCTATGGTCACTCAGTTCTATGGTCACTCAGCTCTATGTTCCCTCAGCTCTATGGTCACTCAGCTCTATGTTCCCTCAGCTCTATGTTCACTCGGCTCTATGTTCCCTCAGTTATATGTTCCCTCAGCTCTATGTTCCCTCATCTCTATTTTCACTCGGCTCTATGTTCACTCGGCTCTATGTTCCCTCAGCTTTATGTTCCCTGAGTTATATGTTCCCTCAGCTCTATGTTCACTCGGCTCTATGTTCCCTCAGCTTTATGTTCCCTCAGTTATATGTTCCCTCAGCTCTATTTTCCCTCAGCTCTATGGTCACTCAGTTCTATGTTCCCTCAGCTTTATGTTCCCTCAGCTCTATGTTCCCTCAGCTCTATATTCCCTCAGCTCTATGTTCCCTCAGCTCTATATTCCCTCAGCTCTAT